ATTACAGTGTCAAAAGCCGAAATTTTACGAAGGATACAGAAAGCGGAAACGGGCAGAAAATGTGAACATTGCATCTGGTTTGGAGAAAACATGTCAAAACGGAACAGGGACAGTCGAACATTTTTCGAATCGATGATTTTCTACACGACCAACATGAAGTCTGCATGTTAACAAGGTCGTGCTGAAAACTGAGTCACAGTTGTTTTCCGTTCCCTAGTGCAAGATTACGCAGGCTTCTAAGAACCGGATACTTCCTTGTCTCCATGGAGATGTAGACATGTCATTTTAGCTACAAATAGTCATGTGGCTAAAATATGAGCACCGGGCGTTGAGGACAGAAATGTTGGGATGAGAAAGATGGCTTCTTTAAACATTTTATACCACTGATGTTTAGAATGACTTTGAAAAATGCCTGCGTTATATTGCTAAATCAGCAGCTTGCTTGATTTGATAACACCCAACATTGAGGAAGTTTTTGTAAACCTGTCTCTGAGGTGACGAATAAAGCGATTCACTGCTGCTGATATCGACCACTGCGATATCGGTCTTCAACTGAAATAGTGGCTTGGAACCGGTGCAAAGTCAACTGTTGGTACTCTGATGCACGTTAGATGCCTGGCAACCTAACTCCTGCCTGCAATCGGCAAATACCAAGATTCATAAAATTTATCGATAGAGGCGCCATTCGTGACTCCTCTAAATTGTTTTAGTGTAGCGTTATCCTTTTATATTGTTTCAGTTGCGTAGGCAGTGAATAGTGTTCGCCCCAAATTGTGTTGCTTTCTCATGCGCTCATCATGAGCTATGCTCACAAATATTATCTCAAACACAACTCACCACTGCGTTGTTAGGTTAGTTGCGTATCCTTTACAGGACGTTGCAGAACCAACCCCATCAGCCCCTGGCTGTTGTGTGGTTTCACTAGGCAAAGTACGTCCAGTAGTTTGCCATTGCTTTCTGGACTGTCAGCTACCAGATACCACTGTCGAAACCCACGCAAGGCTTATGGCCCGCAGCTGGGATCGAACCCGGTACCCAGGCATTATGAAGCGTTCGCATCGACTTAGCCACAGAGCCGACCCACTGCGTTGTAACGATTACAAAAACCCACACGATTCACGCCCACATGTCCACTGGACACAGTAAACAACATTTGAGACTGATTTTCACATACCCAAGTATGAGTCAGAAAACTTAGCGTTTCTTTTTTTTTTAACAGTATTTAAAGATTATTGCGTGCAGAAGTTTTCTTCTACTTATTCGTAGTCACTGGCTGTAAACTGCGACGGAAAGTTCTAGTTGTTTGTTCATTTATGGACTTTAGTTCTATTTCAGAATCTAAGTGCTGCGCGCCCATCCGTTTTACAAATGTGGCTTAACTGTATGCAGATCTTTGGCTTCCTGCCTCTGAGGCAGATGCGCTTACGCTTCGAACGAAATCACAATTTAGTTGACTCTTACGACATGCTTGTTAGGGAGGCAGTGTTTCTGTTCTTATTTTCCGTCAAATGGAACCACGAAACCCACACTTAGAGTGCATAAGGTTTGATAGCTACGCATTCATAGCAAGAAGAAAGAAGTAGATGCTGCTGCTACTACTGCTGCTGCTGCTGCTGCTGCTACCTCTACTACGACTATTACTACTACCACTACTAATGCCGATGGTGCTGCTACTACTTGTATATTTTCTTCTTTTTCCATTTTTATCCTTTTCTCCATTCCTTTATTTTTCGCTTTAAATATCGAATGAGATAACAAGTTTTTGATCAGTCTACTGGCCGCCTTGATCATAGACATTGAATACTATTGTAGAGTTTGTTTGATGTTGCTTTTCCGCGTTATTCTTAGTATATGTCTGGCTTTGTGTCTGCACTTTTGACACACAAACACACACACACACACAAACAACCAAACACACACACAAAACCACACAAACAGATATATAAGCATCACAAGGCATTCTGTCTAAATATGAAATTATATGAGTATATTCCCAACACACACCAGAGAACAGAAAAATGTACACACACACACACACACACACACACACATATATATATATATATATATATATATATATATATATATATATATATACACAGACACACACATACATTAAACACAGATGGAATCAATTATCGTCAAACAACAGCGTCGGCTTTCACCTGAAACGACTGCTCGTTAACAACAAGTCACATAGACCTTTTAATAAGAAGCCAGCAGGTGAGGCTAGGGTAATAACAGAGTTAAATTCCTGGTCTTGTGCAAAGTTACGGACGTTTCAAAGCACCGGATACTTGGTTGTCTCCATGGAGATGTAAATATGCCACTTGCTATAAATGATCACACCAGTGAAAGCAATGAGCGTTGAAGACGGGAATTTAAGGAGGAGAATATGGCTTCTTAAAACATGTAATACTAGTGAGATTTACTTTAACAGTCTGATCAACTCCCTCCATCTTTGACTGTTAGATGCAGTAGGCATCGTGGGTTGCATGCACAAAGACTGTTTAATCAGTCAAGGTATGTATCCATGTCTTTCTTGGCCTGCCTCTTCTCCTCTTCTCCTCTACTGAACTCTTTGGTATTACTTTTGAGAGCCTATTAGATGTTACTACATGCCCATACAATTGCATTTTTCGTCTTTTCACTGTAGTCAAAAGAGGGTCATTGTTGCCAGTGTGCTGGTTAACTCTTTCAGACCCATAAGATCTCATCGGAGATGCCTATCGAGTACTTAGCCACAATGAGTGATTGACTTTCAACCCCACCAGGACATCACACCTAGAGACAAACACCCAGTGTCACAAAGTGGCACCATTCAGATAAGGACCACATGGGAACAGGTCTCAGAAACCCAGTTCAACCCCTAATTGGGTTATATTAGGGCCCAACAACAGAAAGGGTGGGACTTTAAAACAATTAAAAAAATTGCGCACCACATTAGGAGGCAATAACAATTAGCCACAATGAATAAAGCACACATGCGTTACTTTTAAAGAGGCAGCATATAATTTAGAACATAAAACATGCTATGCTGGGTTTTGAAATAATAGGTAAGACGTTTATCACAAAATCGCATCATATCATGCATTGTTTTGGGCACATGGACAGCAGCTGATCACACATGATGTACTTGTTTGGATTTAAAGAGTTAATACGCGCTCTCCTGTCAAATCCGGACGAAGAATAAACAGCCTTGGACAAGTTAGTCAGAGTTCTCTCCCTTGGCTGCACTCCGAACAGTAATCGGAAAACAAACGAAATAAACGACACACTTACCTATCATCCTGCGGTTGCGTGTAGGGCTGCGTACGGTTTCGTGAGGCATTGTGAATGGTTGTGTAGTCATCATCATGCGGTTGTTGGGTTAGAGTTAGGGGTAGGGTTAGGGTTAGGGTTAGGGTTAGGGTTAGGGTTAGGGGTAGGGTTGGGGTAGGGTTAGGGTTAGGGGTAGGGTTAGGGTTAAGGTTAGGGGTAGGGTTAGGGGTAGGGTTAGGGGTAGGGTTAGGGGTAGGGTTAGGGTTAGGGTTAGGGTTAGGGTTAGGGTTAGGGGTCGGGTTAGGGTTAGGGTTAGGGTTAGGGGTAGTGTTAGGGTTAGGGGTAGGGTTAGGGTTAGGGTTAGGGTTAGGGTTAGGGTTAGGGTTAGGGTTAGGGGTAGAGTTAGGGTTAGATGTGAAAATTTTGACGTAGGATTTCGAAATACTGGCCGACAATCAGATGTTTGTGGGAGTGGCGCCACTGAAACTCTGCCAAATATGACGCCAATAGCGTGCGGCTGGTGCCCCCAATCGTTGGCGAATTGTGCGTTTGATTAGCATCCAGAGGCCCTCGATTGTTTGTGTGTGTATGGGACTGTGCGCGATTATAGGGAACTCCGGCGTCAAAATTGTCAAATATAACGCTAAACTTAACCATACCGCTAACCCTAATCCTAATTCTACACCCTAGCCCTAACCCCTACCCCTAACCACGCAAATTTATCGATCATTAAAGCATACAAATCGGCAAAAACCAACAAACAAAACACACCCAAAAAAAAAAAAACCAGATTTGTCCTGCAGCGTCGAAAAAAACCCCCCAGATCTGGGGGAAACAACCAAGCATTGGCAGCCCTGATGTCGACGTCACTGTCTTCTTTGTTTCGTTGTGGCTTTTCCGATCACTGTTTGGAGTGCTGCCACGGGAGAGAACTCTGACTAAGTCGTCCAAGGCTTTTTAGTCTTCGTCCGGATTTGACAGGAGTACCGCTTATACGTATTAAGGACAAATACACTCAACGCGTGTATATCGTATGTCAGGAATTTCTGAGAATTGCCTAAAAATTGCTTAGAATATTCGAACTACTGTAACAAATTCAGAGGTCACCCACGCAGAATGTACTTTTTCTTCTTCTCTTCCACCTTGTACCCAATCGAAGTGTCGGGGACGCAGAAGATTGACCGCGGAAATATCAGAGACACAGAAAAGTACTTTATACGAAGTGAACAGGAGGGCCCGTTCCAGAGATCTCTTCCCGCCTGACACCGCGAGAAATTCGAGGAGTAGGGAACAGAAGAAGAGTAAGAATATTTGAAACAACTGCAGAAGTAACCTCTACGTTTAACATGGCTTAAAAAATTTTCAATTTCATGGCGGAACACAGTTTGTTTCCTTCTTCGTGAATGTTGTATGTCCAAATGTGTGTTTCAACTCTCTAGATTATATACGATGAAACCCATAATGGGGTAAGGGGTAGCGTAGCTGCTTGGCGATCGCTTCCCCGAGCAGTCTACGGTTGAAAATCCGCATCGAAGAAGCTTGGCTTCAAGCCAAGCCAGCTTAAACTGAGTACCAGGCAATTTTCTGGAAAGTAAAGGCGACCAAAATGAGTTTGACCATATTGTCAAATATCAACTGACCGATACAAACACATGTCTAGTCCTATATGCCTAATGCACCAAAGACCTGATGGGGGGACATTTTACTACATTTTTATTTTTAAAACATCACATACTAACCTGTTGTAAAGAACAATATCCGGAAGCCAGATCAAGTCACATGGGATACGCAGTTTGGTAATATTGTTGTAATGGCTGATGTTCCACACCAGCTTCTCGTCATGCCATTCCTGCAGACAAACAATTGAAGCAAGGTTAGCTACATCACTGGACATGGAGTCTTGTTGGCAGAACTGTGTTGGCTAGATACTATTTGGCAATCGCTAAAAAAGAAAATTATAGCTTTTAAACTTTAATGGAGGAGGGTCTGACCGAATATGACTGTCACGCGCATGGCCGTGGTTACAATTTTCGGTAATGTGATGGACGTCGTTTTCTGTCTACTGCACTAGCAGCCACCTTAACTTCCCAGGGCGTTCCCTGGTATCCACTTTAGGCTGACTCGACCTACGCGCCCAGGCCAATTTTTATACAAAAGTCCTCTACTATGGAGATGCCGACCCCTACGAGTGGGAAACAGTAATCCTAATGAAAACCAGGCCAGTCGTGACCACTGCACCAGCCATGCAGCGCTAAAACCTCTATATATGATATAGCGTTGGTAGTCTCGAGTACTTCCTCATCGAAGTGTGCAAAAGTTTATGCAGGGATTGTAGAAGTGTAATTAGAATAAATCAGGGAACATCTCATCCATTCTCAGTAAGATCTGGAGTAAGACAGGGGTGTGTCTTAACACCACTGCTGTTTATCACCTACATCAACAGTATATGCAAGAATGCCAAGCCCATGAATGAAAGTGTTAGTAAGATCAACGAAATACTCTTTGCAGATGACCAGGCCTTGATAGCAGATACAGCCATGAAATTGCAACAACATCTAACATCCATGAATGAAGAATGTAAAACAAATAATATGAGAATCAACACTGAAATGACAGAAGTAATGTCAATAGGAAAAAAGAAGACAGATCTAAACATAGCAATATAGTGCAAAGGCATTAAACAGGCATCTGAGTTTAAATATCTGGGAACTACATTTACCGAAGATGGGAAATTGGATAAAGAAATTAACATTAGATGCAGTAAAGCAAACCAAGTATTAAGACAGCTAGCCCCCCCCCCCCCCTCCCCCCTCTTACAGCAAAAGACAATCCCAATCAGCACAAAGAGACATCTTATTCAAAGCATATTTATTCCAACTCTGTGCTACCAGTGCCAGACATGGTCACTCACAACAAACCATAAAAGAAAATTAGTAACCATGGAAATGAGATGTCTGAAAAGGGCTGCAGGAGTGACCATTAGAGATAAGATCAGGAATGAGATCATAAGAGAAAAAGTCGGCACAGAACCAATTCTAAATTACATACAAAGACAGCAAGTGAAATGGTTTGCCCACTTAGAGAGAATGCCTTGTGACACCATACCATACAAAGCATACATGGAAAGAGAAGAAGGACGTAGAGCACGAGCTAGACCAAGAACAAGATGGAAGGATAATATCAGAGAAACTCTACAACAGCACGATGTGCCTATGGTCGAGGCGGCCAGAAGAGCTAGAAACAGAACCTTATATCTCCACAGCGGTAAAAAAGGAAGTGAAGAAGAAGAAGAAGTCTCGAGTACTTTCAATCAACACCGACGATTCTCCATGCCATAATGTCACACTGACCAGCATCTTTTCTCTCGTTATCCCTCTGCCTCTCCTCCCCTCAGACTTTCATATTATCACGATGTACTCACATTTTCTCCTTCTCATCACACGACTCAAATTGTAGTTTGTTTCGTTCTGATGTGGGAAATTAGTTCTCTTCGTGAGTCCGTTATTTTTCAGGACATCTTCACAGCTCTGTTTACCTGTCCAGGTTATTTTCATTACTCATCTATGGAACCACATCCTCGCATCTTCCAAACCATCATCAGGTGTCTTGCCGACTGGCGTGGACGATCATGCCTCTCCACAATCTGCGATCTCCTGCAGCATGTATCAGTTCCTGTGCCGACACATCTCCATGCCATGCAACAAGACTGTCAAGAATCTTCTCTCGTTGTCTTCCTCTATCCCTCCTTCCACAGATCTTTCCAATGGTCACAACATGTTCTATGTTCCCTATTTTCATAACATGGCCGAAAAATGATGTCTGTGTTAAGTTGTCTTCGGGTTCCGGCTCTTTCAAAACCTCTTAGTTGCTCTTTTTGGCTGTCCAAAATCTTCCAAAAAGGTTTTCAATAATTATACTTTCAAAATATGACCCTAAGAAAAGTGCTACGATAGGCAGGAAAGAAGTGTGTGGTTTTTTATTGTGAAGACAGTAACTGCTAACACCAAGAATGAAATTCAGTGGACCCCTACAAAACAACTTGATGATCTGGACTTCGCTAATTATATTTCTCTTCTGTCCCATTCACAGAATCAGATGTGAGATAAATAAAATATTTTTGATGCGAGATCACAAAAGCTAGGTCTGAAAATTCATAAAGGAAAGACAAAGATAATGAGAATAAATTAGGCAAGAGTGTAATGTGGTTTCTTTAAATGGCACCCCGCTCCAAGACATGGAGTCGTACATCTATTTGGGCAGTAATGTAGATAAAGATGGGGGAATCGATATAGATATTAAAATAAGAGAACAAAAAGCAAAAGGAGCTATCATAGCACCAGAGAAATTGTAGAGGTCAGAAGAGAAATGCAAGACCACTAAAATTCTGAGGAGTTTAAAAAATCTTATATTACAGACGGTCACACTGGATGAATACAGGTCAGTGCAAACCCCGACACAACGTGTGACAGAGAATTCTCCTGTGACAAAAGTGAATGGGTCGAAACAGTGCCGCAAAATTTGGACACAGGAAAGAGATTACTATTTCTCGACTACTAGATTAGACAAGTGTTTGGGCATTTTGAAAGTACATTAAATATCAAGTGGGGATCTGCGTTAATATAGTGGCCACATTTCACCTGCTAGTCCTAGTATCTGACAAAAGTGAATGGGTCGAAACAGTGCCACAAAATTTGGACACAGGAAAGAGATTACTATTTCTCGACTACTAGATTAGACAAGTGTTTGGGCATTTTGAAAGTACATTAAATATCAAGTGGGGATCTGCGTTAATATAGTGGCCACATTTCACCTGCTAGTCCTAGTATCTTTGGTTCGAAGCCCATCAGAGCAGATTTTTGTTTCGGAATTTATCTTAGCTTTGATTACGACCCAGCTTAATATATATTGGTAAAGTAGAGGACATTTTTCAACGACTTTAGCTATATATATATATATATATATATATATATATATATATATATATATATATATATATTGATTGTCACTGGTAAATGTCACCAAGCTCAATGTACATCATTAAACTGACAATGATGGGTATACATCTCCAATCAGTTCTCGTTATGCCTAGTGGCACATGAGGCTTCAGAGAGGACTTTCCATGTTTTCCTGTCCTGTGCAATCTTCTGTGCAGTTTTCCATGTCAAAGATGCCGTACTCAGGTCACTTTCCATCGTTAGTCTCCATGTTGTTTTTGGGCGCCCCTGTTTTCTCTTTCCCTCTGGTGTCCATGTGAGAGCTGTTTTGGCAGGTATATCAAAAGTCATTCTCATAACATGGCTAAGCCATTGCCATCTTCTCTTGGTAATCATACTGTCTAAAGTTTCTTGGTTTGTGGCTTGAAGTAGTTTAGTGTTTGAGATTGTATCTGGCCAATAAATTTTGATAATTCTACGTAGAAATGTGTGGTGAAAGGTGGACAGCTTGTGTGCATCCTTTTTGGTCATTCTCCAGCATTTCGCCCCATAAAGAAGAACTGGCAAAATGATGCTCTTGTAGAGTCGGAGTTTTGTTCATCTGCAGTAATTGTTGGATTTCCAGATTTGCCTCATCCTTCCAAAAGCAGCTCTAGCTTTGTTCAGGCGTGACTGTATGTCTTCCTCTGTCCCTCCCAGTAGGGACACCATACTGCCAAGATATGTGAAATGTTCCACATTTTCAAGTGATTGGTTACTTATGGTAAGAGTCTTTCCCAATTCAGACCCATCTCGCTGTTGAATGTTGAGGGTAAGATATTCTTCTCAGTCATGGCTCGCCGGCTCACACAGTATCTGATGACTAACAAGTACATAGATACGAGTGTTCAGAAGGGTGGTATTCCAGGCGTTCCTGGGTGCCTTGAACACGCGACCATGATCTGGGAGGCTATCCAGAGAGCCAAGCATGAGAGAACCAATTTGCACGTTATATGGTTGGACTTAGCCAACGCCTACGGGGCAGTCCCCCATAGGCTACTGTGGCGAGCCCTTCGCATGTTTCACGTACCGACACAGATCAGTCAAATGGTCGAGCAATATTTCTCCAAGTTCGCTTTGCGCTTCTCTACCTCGACGTTTACCACGAGGTGGACTGAGTTGCAGATTGGGATAGCTATGGGGTGTACGATCTCACCCATACTGTTTGTCATGGCAATGCAGATCTTATTAGACGGGGCGGCCGGCTACGGACTGGGCCTTCAAATAGGGGATCACTGGTTACCGCCACTGCGCGCATTTATGGATGACACGACTATTATAACGGGCAGCGAGGAGTCTGCCCGCACGATCCTGGAAAGATTGGACGCGGTGGTCCAATGGAGCGGTATGCAGTTCAAACCGCAGAAGTCGAGGAGTCTGTCAATCCATAAGGGCAAAGTGTCGGCGATCAGTTTTACGGTGGCAAGGAACAAGATCCCTACGGTTCTGGAGGAACCGGTGAAGAGTCTCGGTCGCGTTTACGATTCGAAGTTATCTGACAGAGCGGAAGTCCGGCGAATACATGAGTCACTGGCTACAGGCCTGCTCGCGATCGAGCGATGCAGGCTGATCGGAAAATTCAAGGTATGGTGTCTCCAATTCATGTTGATTCCGAAGCTTCTATGGCCACTGCTAGTCTACGAGGTGACGATGACTGCAGTTGAAGCCATGGAAAAGAAAATCAACACAGCCTTAAGAAAGTGGATTGGTGCACCGCCTTGTCTGACCGACGTGGCTCTGTATTGTAAAACAGGCTAAGCTGGTACTTCCGTTCAAGTCAATAACCGAAGAGTTTAAAG